CCCCCCCATTTTTTGTTTTCAGTTTTTAGATCATCCTGCATATAGCGGGAAAAATGAGTTTGGAATGGGATGAGAGTGAATGTGGCGGGATCAGCATTAGTGGTGACAGTGGAGTTTGGCCGGTTAAAGAGTGACTTAGGAAATGGAACTGACAGCTTTTCCGGCCTAGGGAGGGAGCCGTGAGAGGTTAGAAGTCATGGATGACTCCCAAGATGGTTAAAAACCTGGATGGGTTTAGAGGCCTACTGTGGTGCCACTCAGTGGGGTAGGGGACACCGGATCAAATTGAGTTTGCAATTCCCTTGTGAGCCATCAGAGATGTCAGGTTGACAGCTGGGTATCTGGATTCATGTAGAAAAGGAGAGGTCAGGGCAAGAGACCACTCTGCGAGTTGCTGGCACAGGTGTGCAAGTCATAATAGGGTGTGTGCCCACCCTAGGGAGAGTGAAGAGGACTTGGGAAAGAACCCTGAGAAGGTAGAGGGGATACACAGATAAGGGACCAAAGGAGGACAGGGCCCTGTAAACAAAGGACAGAAATTTTAGGAGCCGGAAGTGGTCAGTAATGGGAGATGCTCCTGAGAGCATGCCTGAAACGAAGGGCCTCCAGAATAAAGCCGTGAGATCACCCTGGCAAAAACAGTATTTGCTGGGGGCAGGAACAGACTCTGGATTGAAAATGACTGAGAAATACTTGACTGTCGCTGGAAGAAGGGCAAATGGCAAGTGTAGACAAAATCTTTTATTTAGCTGAAAGAGGTAGTGGTTAAAAGGGGGATTTTGTGTTTTGATGGGAGAAACTTGGGCTTGAAAATACAGAGCAGAATGGATAATTGACTGTACAGGGTTCTGGGCGGGTGTGCATAGAGTTGGAGCCTAAGTGTCAGGTAAGTGAAGGATCTGCTGCAGCCATTGCTGTGGGGCATGGTGAGAAAGTTTGGATCTCAGGGTAGGCATGCCCTGAGCAATGTCCTTGCAGCTTCCCTTAGATGACTTGGTCAGGATTTCACCCAGGTCTGGACTTAGATCCTGTGCTTTATTCCTGAGTGAATCAGTCACTCTGCCTCCCTTTGTTTTTTTTCTTTTTTTGAGTTGGAGTCTCACTCTGTCGCCCAGACTGGAGTGCAGTAGCCCCTCCTGGCCACCGCAGCCTCGACCTGCTGGGCTCCGGCGATCCTTCCGCCTCAGCCTTCCAAGTAACCGAATTACAGGCGCACGCTACCACGCCCGGCTAATTTTTTGATTTATTGTAAAGATGAAGTCTCGCCTGCCCAGGCAGGTCTTGAACCCGCGGGCTCAGGCAGTCCACTCATCTCAGCCTCCCAGAGGCGCAGGATTACAGGCTGAGCCACCGAGCCTGGCTGTCCCTTTGTTTTTAATGAGTTTTGGGTTTGGTTGGGAAAGACTCATAGTGGGAAATGGGTAGATTGGTTGTATTTAGTGGTCATAAGACAAGTTCTTGGGAAAGCTACACTTAGCAGCCAGGGGTGGAGGAGAAAGAGGGTTAGAGCAGGGGGTGCTTTAGTTGAGCCTTGAAGGAATTTACCAGGAAGGTGGCAAGAGGGGGGATGCTCCTGGCAAAGACTATAGCACCCAGTGAAGTGTCAATGTGGAAGAGGGTGTGCATATTCAGGAGACGTGTGGGAAGGAAGGGATATTGGAATCAAGAGCTTGTTAGGATCTGTTTGGGGGCCTGTGAGTGTTCCCAGTTAACACCCTTGACATTCGTGGGTGATACATATGGGACTTCTGTGATTTCCCAAGTTCAGGGATCCCAATTCTGAATATAGCTTTCCCCATTAAATATATCAAGAAGTTTGAAGCTGCCGTGGTGAGCTTGGGCAAGTTTGTAATTTTTTTAAGTGGCCAAGTGACCCATTCCTGTGCCCCAGTGTTCGATCAAGAGATTAGCATCCTGTCAGAAGCCTGGTCACTCTGGAATGGTCAGACACAAATGTAGGTGATGGATCGGGGCCTTGCTTTAACAGAGTTTGAGAGGGATCCCTGAGGGGTATGGGCTGAGGTGGCTGTGGCCAGTCACCTCTAACTGCTGTCCTGCCTGCTTGCAGACCTACTTCGGATGTTCTTTGATGCGCTATATGACGAGGACGTGGTGAAGGAGGATGCCTTCTACAGTTGGGAGAGTAGCAAGGACCCCGCTGAGCAGCAGGGCAAGGGTGTGGCCCTTAAATCTGTCACAGCCTTCTTCAAGTGGCTCCGTGAGTCTCCGGAGGAGGAGGAGTCCGACCACAACTGAGGGCTGGTGGGGCCGGGGACTTTGGAGCCCCGTGGACACGCGGATGGCCCAGCCAGCCGCCTGGACTGCAGGGGGGCGGCAGCAGCGGCGGTGGCAATGGGTGCCTGTAGTGCGATGTGTCTGAGCTAATAAAGTGGCTGAAGAGGCAGGATGGCTTGGGGCTGCCTGGGGCCCCCCTCCAGGATGCTGCCAGGTGTCCCTCTCCTCCCCCTGGGGCACAGAGTTATATTATATATAAAGTCTTGAAATTTGGTGTGTCTTGGGGGGGGGCACCACTGCCTGCCCCTGGGGTCCTTTTTTATTTTCTGAAAAATCACTCTTGGGACTGCCGTCCTCGCTGCTGGGGGCATATGCCCCAGCCCCTGCACCACCCCTGCTGCTGCCTGGGCAGGGGGAAGGGGGGCACGGTGCCTGTAATTATTAAACATGAATTCAATTAAGCTCACTGCCTCTCTGCTTTATGGTCTGCTCCCTCTAGAGAAGGGGTGTGGATAGGTGGGTATCCTTTCCAGAGCTGGCACTGTAGCACTGTTCTGAAATCTGGCACCCCTCCTGCCTCTTCCCCTGTCCATGATTGCGGGAATATGGGGAGACGTTTTCCAGAAAGTTGGTTGAGTCAGGGTCTCTGTCACCCAGGTTGGAGAGTGCAGTGGCATGCCCATGGCTCACTGCAGCCTTGACTTCTGGGCTCAGGCGATCCTTCTGTTTCAGCCTCCCGAGTTGCTGGGACTTCAGGCGTGTGCCGCCATGCCCTGCTAATTTTGTGGGTTTTTTGTTTTTTTGTTTTTGTAGAGACAGGGTCTTGCTGCGTTGCCCTGGCTGGTTTCGAACTCCTGGGCTCAAGCAATTAGTCCCGCCTCAGGCTCCCAAAGTGCTGGGATTGCAGGCGTCAGCCCACCGTGTCCAGCCAGAACGTTCTTGCTGAACTCTTGATTATACCAGAACAGGATCCGGGCCTCTGTGCGGAAAAGGCTCAGGGTTTCAGGATGTTAGTAGCTAGAAATCCCTTAATGGCTTCAAGGTGTCATCTATAGAATGAAGGGGCTGGATGCGACGAGGTTTTTCATCCCTGTGTAGTTATGACTTGGTGGCTCAGGCAGTTTCCGCCTCCCCTACCTGTGGGCAGGCGGGCCTGGGAGACGAAGGGCGATTTCTGATCTCGGCCCCGGGCCGCCCTTGCGTGGCCGTGACGTCGCCTGCGTCCCGCCCACTCTGGGTGGTGACGGAAGCGGCCACGCCCCCGCGCTTACGTCACCGGAC